GAGAGAAGGTATTTGCAGACAAGAGAGAGACAGGACTTGGGGAAAACAGTATAAACATTTATTACTAGTAAAATAAAAACTACTAATAAGTTAAAAACTAAAGAACTATATTTATAACAATTTCTACTCAAGTTGAAATGCTATATATACACAGAAATACTTCTTCCCTTTTTATACTAGTCCAAGGAGAAGAAGTAGTCTCATTCTGTATCTTTGGAGTTCCAGTTCTCTCCCTCTAGTAACAGATCTTTAGCAGCAGCACACTTTCATTGCAGTTGGAACTTCTTCTCTCTCCCTCTCGCTCTGTGTTGGCTTCCAGGGCTGGGCTTACCCCCCTCCTGGGCTAAGACTGAAGGCTGGAGATTACTCAGGTCCTGAAGGGTTTTTCTTCCATAGGCTTGCAAGGGGACACTTGCTTACTATGGATCTTCTTCCACAGGGTTACAGGGGCTAATGGTTTAAGAGTCCACTCCTGTTTCCCTATGGAGGTCCCTCCCTATAGGAGAATAGTCTTTGATAGACTTCTCGGCATGGGTCTGGTACGAATCCCACACACACACGGGTTCCAGCATCTCAAATGGGCCATCTCGCTCCAGCATGAGATTTCTCAGAGTCACAAAAACTTTAACAGCAGTATAGATCCACACACGCACGGATCCAGTATTTCACCTGAGTTGTTACTGTTCCAACACAAGTTTCCCTCAGGGTTGCAAATCTCCACCAGGACTTTGCCTCACTTCAGTCCTTTTCATGAAGTCTTGGTTTTCTTTGGTACATCCACAAACTTCTTTATCAGTTGCATGGGGAGTCTCCTTACTTCAACAAGTTTTTATAGGTGGCAGGGATTTATTTTTCAGTTTTTTCCTTGCTAAGGAGAGAGAACAGAAAGGCAGGAGAGAAACAAACCTCCTCTCTTTCGCACTTTACTTTTCTTGCTGCAGTTTCAGCTGCCAGCTCCGACCTTGGAAGCTCCGTTATCTTTCAGCTGGAATTCTTCCACAGCGGCTTCTGTTTAAGCAGTTCGTCTTTTAAACCTTTTTTTCTCTTCACTCTCTTACAAGAGAGAAGGGAAGACTTCAGTACTGCACCTGCTCCCCCCCCGGCCCAAGCCGGGGGAGGAGAGAGTCTGGCCCTGCTTCGGGCCGTTACTCTTCTCTCCTACATGGCTACTACTCTAATTCCAACTGCGCCAACAACCTTCTCTTCCGTTTTCTTGAAGATGTAATTAGCAAAGGCGTTTCTGGACTTTTGATTGGTCTTTTTGTCCGGAAATTACCTGGACAAAACCATCATCAGCCCCAGGGATGGGCTGAGGGGGCAAAACCACGACACCTGCACTTTTAATTTACCATCAGTACCTGGGTTTATCCCTGTCCAGCACAACTTGGAACTGCTTTTCCAAGTCCCACAGAATCTGAAACAGTTTTAAAGCATTTGGGTTTGGCATGGGGGGCTGGATGTGAGGTAAAGATGTAGTCAAGCAGCTAGGTGGGCTTAGTCCTGAGAATGGGCTATTACA